CCCCTTGCCGGTAGTATGAATCATCTTGGCGGTAGTCAAATGGTGATGATGAACATAATTGCGTCCCAGAGTCCGAGGGTGTGCATGTGTCTATGCGTATAAAAGTGAATGAACTGGTGGGATGGTGCACGCGCGCGAACGAGATAGTGAAAGCAAATGGACAGTGTTCTCATGAGTTGAGCAATGGATATAAAAACCTTTTATGGTATTTATTGCTTTGAACTGACTATCATTCGGACTTTACTTTCACGCACAATCTTCACTTCACCGATTCAACCATACACTCGGAAGTATTATGTTCGATTTTCGCTCTTATTAGAGCTAATCAGTAGTGCATATCCACCGTCCCGTCCGGGGTTTGAGCTCCGGACCCATCGAATGAAAGGCGTGTGTAATATCACTGTGCCATATCTTGGGGAAACCGGTACCATTCTCTTTGTATGACATTCTTTAGCTTTCTTGGAGAATACTGTGGCCTCATCCGGTCCAATCTCCACCCCCACCAACACCATGCTGACACGCAAATGTTGAATCGAATGATCGAGCTAACCAACGGGGCATCTCTGTACCGTGATAAGTAAAACTTTCGGAGACCTGAAGATGATAAGATGATAAGATGATAATTAGGGCCCGGATTCGTTCATTCTCGACTGAAGCTCACTTGATCAACGGTCATATTAATGGTCAAGAATGGGGTTGGAATGGAACGAACAGTCAGACTCCATTCTACTGAAATCTTCATCCGAGCCAGCTCGGTGCCCCACACTTGAAATTACTTCTATTTGCCTGTGGGGGAATCAGTTCATTCCAACCGGGGTGACATCATCCATGCTTATAAAGCGTTATGCTTGTACTCGTTCGTTTATATATTTGTTCTTCTCCACCGACTAATTTTGTCTCTTGTTTTCACTGTTTTGACTCGATTCGCCGGTAAACTGTTGCGACATTGTTGCGGCATCGAACTAGATCACGTCAGTGCAACTCAAGGATCAAATGATGCAACAAAAAAGGTCACGCCGTGGCCTGAGAACGGACCGAAACCGCAATCAGAGCGGAAGGACAGCCCCCTTCCCTCCCACTCTCACGTCCTCGTACCAGTTTAACGGCGAACAGAGTCGAACATAGTGAGAACAAGGGACAAAAATAGTCAGTGGAGAAAAACACATATAAACGAACGGGTACAAGCAGAACACTCACTTCACAAGCAATGAAGATGTCACCTCGGCTGGTGATGAGATGTTTGCAAACAAATAGCCTAGCTCGGCGAACAGATGCAATGGAATTTGTAAGTGTTTGCGTGTGAGTAGGTGCATGATCATCATTATTACATGCATAACCCCGATTTTATCTCAACATTCTGTCGTATATGCACCCTCCATACAGGTATTAGTTGTCAATCGTTGGCGTTTATTACACTTTTACGGATCAGATAAATCCGAGCACGGTTGGACTCGTTTCGTCTCGACCGCGATTTACGATCGATCAATACAATTGACTGAGGACGGTGTAAATGTGGCCAAACAGGCCTCTGTGTCTGGTTTGTTCCCAAATCGATTTCGAAATCTGAGCAACGCCATTCTCAATGNCGGCATTGTTCCGGTTAGTGGGTGTTTTGGGAAATTTTCCGGTTCAGCCAAACCTGTGACATTAAATCTCTGCAATTTTCCGCAGTGTAACTATCTGTGAAACTCGGTCGGACGTACAGTACTGGCCGGTTGTGAAGCACTAAAATATCTTCTTTATGATCAAATTGAGTTTCATTGTATTTATCACCTACATTATTGTTTTAGGTTTTTTGATTTGTCAGCAGAAAAGAATCCAGAAGTTGAATACGAGTATTGGCTAAAGCCAGTTTCGTACGGAAGTTGAAATAAACATTTAGTTCCTTTGGTACAGTGTGGCCTTTGGTTGCTTTCAAATGCTTAAACAGAGTCTTACGAAGCTCATAATGAGAACTCAAATTGGCAAACAAGCTCATTTTTGACATGTCTTAATCATAACAGTACAACGCAATAAATATGACTATAGTAAAGAGAAGGATTCACAAGGAAAAGAGAGGGAAAGTAATTAGTATTAAACACTTTGTTTCATAATTGGTTTCATCATAAGTTTTGACAATAATTTATATCCTGTCTTCTTCGATCTACGTAGTTTCTACGCTGCATAAGTGTCAACTGAACGTGCCTGGTTGCCAAGATTAAATAATCAACATGAAAACCACAAACTTTATCAAGTATGAAAACGCAATATTTTTTAATAGGAATGACTCAAGAATTGTCCCGAATTATTTTCATAAACCCTTGCCATTTCGTTTTTTTGTTAGGAGGAATTATTTTATTCAACATATAATCCATTATAGCAATTCTATTGAATAACGAAATTAAATTCTTTCACACCTCGCAGAAATTGCAATAAATAAGTTTTCATAATAATAATAATAATCTATGTTTGATATCTAAATCACTTAATTCGAGAAATACCATTTTAATCAAAGTCAACCTTGAAATCAAGGTCGCTCGAAAAAGTCCCAAAGAACAAAGGCAAACCAATCGACTATTAGTATACACAAACGTTGCATCTTAATTACTATCACTGTTAATTTGTTGGTAATAAAGACTGTTCCATTCTCTTTAGTTACCTCTTACTTCATCATGGTCTAGGTCAGCCACTACTGACGAAATGGGAGTGTCCACTCCATTCTGAACCATTCCATCTGCTGTGTATAAACGAATCAGGAAAACCACGGCTATAAAGACTCACCAAGGCTTGTTTATTATTATTTGGAAAAAAATTACTTCAGTATAAATGCTGTTGCCTGTACGATCCCACATGTGTTTTATAGGGACTCTTTGCTTCAGTTTTATTAGACCTATACATTAAAAATATCAAAACACGAATGAGGATTTTTGCAAAATATGCAAAACCTGAATAAATTATTGGTACCGTTTTATGTTTTAATAGAGCCGATTGTAAATTGCACCAAGTGTGTGTGTCTGTGTGCGTGAAGATTTCTATTTTTGTCCCCGTTCAAGCTGAGCATACCAAGCGACCACTGTGAACCGTGTTCGGGATTGTGTTCGAACCCACAGTGGTTCGATGTGTCTAAGTCCCATTTACCAAATGCTCGTAATTATAGCGGTATGCTGCTCTCATCCCTGCAACAACAAAAAACGATTTGACAAGTTCATCTTTTTCATTGATCATAGAAAGGAAATGACTTTTTAAACCAGGATAGATTGTCAGTCAGTCAAAAGTCTCAGTGATTGGTTGGGAGGGAGACGGATATGGGGTGAGTGATGCAACGTGGTTTACACCACTAGGTCACCGTAATGACACGGCAATCGGGTTGTGATACGTCACCCATGCGATCGGCAGTTAATTGACCCGGGGCAATCTGTTTTGTACTCATAGGTTGGGTGTGGACAAATGAATGCCGATCGCTACCGCAGTGGCTAAAGTGCAGAGACAAAACGATTGGTGATTGGTGATTTGATTGGTGATTTGGTACTTGATAGACAACCCCGAAGGCTGATTCAACCTCCACTTGGAATCTTCAAGGTAAGTGAGAATCATGCTTCCTGTGACACCTTTTCCACCGTGTTGAAGCCAGCACGGTCAGTGCTCTTTAATCCGTTGAGATAGTTGTCCCGCCGTTCAATCAACATAGGCCGCGTTACAAACGCAATTGAAGGAATAGATAACCGTAGCTGAGGCCAGCATAGATAAACTATATTTATTCGACGCTCTTAATATTGGTGAACCTATGAATACGTATGAAAAACTGGCTGCATTAAAGGGTCCTCTCACGGCATGCGCCAAACAACTCTCAATCAGAAATGATAAGTGCTCTCCTTTAAATGGCAGTTTAATAAACAACTTCTATTTCGGAGATTCCTGAACGGGCTCCTGTTCTGGTCTTTCCTCTAGGTTTCTTTCGATGAACCTTGCAGACTATTCATTTTCCCGGAGAATGTTTTTAATCTGATCTAGTTCATCTGCTAACCTTGATTCGAGGCATGTGTTTCGATCGCGCGAGATGAGGCACCTAATGGTTTGAAACACCTCGTATCACTCACCCCACATCGCTTTCCCTGTCAAGCAGTCACCTTGATTTTTGAATGACAACATGTCTATCCTCGTTTAACATATCATTTTCTTATATGTAAGCATGATCTGTACAGGCTAGAAGATGAATCAGTGAAAACAATTGTTCGCCTCTGAACAAGTGTTCTCATGCCATTCGGCTGACACTAATAATCGTGGCGCTAGGAAACTTCATGGTGTATGGGTCCGTTCGTTTAGAGTGTTTTACATCACGTCATTTCATCATGGATTCAGAGCTTATTGCACTGTGACGGAAGCTTTATGATATTGCCATTTCCGGTTGTCTAGGAAATACCATACGTGATCAGTTATAATTTGACGCAAGACAATGAGATGGTGAATGCGACCGGGATCATTATAGATCTGTTGGATTTGATGGCCAAGCGGTTTAACTTTCGGTGAGTTGAAGTCAATTTTATATACTCCTTGATTTGCTTTCTCTCGATTCGTTTGTTTACATAGTGCGAGTTCCACACACGCCGCTAGCTAACCCCATTTAACCGAAAGCTGTAATTGGCATAGAAATGTAGGATAGTTAAAATTGAAATACAGTTCTAATACCACTCACCCCCCTCCCAAAAAACCGTTAAGCATAATTTGTTACTGTTGCATCACAGTTGTCAAGTTTATAGTTTGTTTTTCTGACGATTGGTGGTATTAGTGAAATTGGATATGCTCTCTGGAAAATACAGTCAAATCTTGTTATAATGTCGAAATAGGTTTACCTCAATTAAACCGCTATGTTTAAATTGTGCAGTTCTTGTACTACAGTAACCATCAATGAGACAAACTTTAGAATACCTTTTTACTTTACTGCAACTGGCTCCTTGGAATGGATAAGCCAGCTTCAAACACGATCATGATTATGATCATGAAGTTCCTTGGGAGTTTGGTCCTTAGCGTCACTCGGCGTCTTTTTATTTTGAGGGTGCACTCCTAGCCTTTGCACAAACAAGTGCGAACTGAAAGGCAGCAGGAAGTAATCCCTCGTCTCGGAAGTGAGGGGTTCAGTAACTTTGGTTTTAAAAATACCGGTCACATCGACCTTTATCCCGACACCGTCATTGGGCTTATGCGGCTTTTAAACGGAAGCCACGTGACCAGCCTGAAACCCACCACATAATGGTAGTACCCACAATGTTTGTTTGCTACTACTTATTTGTTGCCGTGTGCCACAACTTATTCACAGCTAACCTTCTTCGGTGAAGTTATCCCCCTATCCACAACGTGGGGACGTGCCAGGTAACATTCAGCTCTGCTTAACCCGAGGGTATCCGCACATTGAAATGAGCGCCATCTCGCTACAGGTACTAATGGAATTGCCGCAAAATCGCTATCTCATCCCGAAGGAGGGAACTTTACTTTTTGCAATTCAAGTTGTCAGAGCATCATCTCGGGCTGTCTCATTCACCTCATCGGTGCTGCTAGCCTCATGCATTTTTAAAGCCACCATGCAGCATAGTCTTTTCAACCTCCGGTTGAAGAGCGCGGGGTTGACGATTGTGAAACACATCTCGGTCACAAACACTCCAATCCCAATGACATATCTTGATTGTTTACCTTGCTATCATGCGTATGCGTCTATGTATGTGTGGTTGCTCGTTCAGCTCCCCCTGAAAAGTCATGCTGGGCCATGCCAGTACCAGTGAATCATGCGCGATCAACGCTTGAGCCATTGGTTACCTCCGTAGAATGATGTTGTAACAGAATTCATGAGCTATAATACCTCAAGCAGCTCCACTGAAACACCAAGCGATCATGCTCGATCGATTTAGGCATCATTGCTGACCAGATTCACATCCAACTTGTCCGACACTTGCATCTTATATCCCACCTCTGCGATACGACCGCAGAAGCACCCTAAAGTGCTGAACAATAAAAATAACCATTTTGGCCACATATCTGGGTCGGAATGAGAGAGAATTTTATCAATAGAAATAAGGTAACAAAGACTGTCAAAACCCACCATAATTTTTATGATAGTTAAGGAATTTAAGAAGAAATTATACTTTCAAAAATTGGAATGTTTTCAAAAATGCACTTGTCTGAATATGTTCTCTGAATTAAATAATCTTTATTGCTGAAATCATGTAGTCCTATTAAAATACTTCCATCACACAAAACAAACCGGTTGAATTAAGATTAATCTATGATATTCACAGCTGGCTTATGTGAACTGGCTTGAAACATTCTTTTGACAAAATAAAATGAGCCGAATAGTCAAGTCGCTCGCAACAAACCAACACTGAGCATCCAAAAACGTATGACATTTACCCTTGGCCTTCCCTGGCTGTAACCAATCACGTGCATCACACACACTGTACACAATNCGATGAGAGTATACGAAAGGAATTCCTCTCGCAGTGTTTGTCTTCTGACTTGCCTGTTCAAATTCATTACGGGATCCAAATGTTTCAGTCAAGTTAAGCTTTGTGGAATTTCAGCACTTTCGAAAAATCGCAGTGAATAAAACGTTAAACATTGATAGAAATGAATGTGATAAAAAGCTAGTGACAGTTGCTTGGTTTACCAAGACAAGGAAAAACAAGAGGTGATGCTGTTTCGGTACGTGGTCGGTGGTAAGTGCACGAGGAATCCTAAATTCGGGATGAGAAATATATTGAGATAAGCATATAGACAATGGTCGTTGATTGACAGTATATGACTGATAAGTATGCCAAATAATTACAATGCTGCTACGCAATAAAGCTACCCAAAACGGTCTTGGAAATGCCACGGCAACGGAAAGCAAGGTTAAGAGATCTGGAAAAGAGGATAAAGTCTTTTGTCTTTAGGCCGTAAAATTATAGGGGAACAGTACAACCAGTGTGGAAAAATGTAGACTGTCACAAACTTAAGAATTAAATTTAGCAGAACGACAACCGTTTTAATTATGAAGGCGTAGGAGGCTAATCCATGAAAGACTCGCGCACAAGCAGATCGTCCTTATTTGGGGCTCTTGAGTGTGTGTCTGACAACAACGTTTAACATTCTGTGTTCGTTTGCTTGTTAATAAACACACATTACACCGCTCATCCTTACACTGAAAGTCGTTCTATCGAACACAGTCTTCATTTACGCGAATCAGCGTCTATGGTTGCAGAGACATGTGACTGCATCAGATTCTGTTGCATAAGAGACACGTGATCACGTGGAGAACTAACAATAACACTAATGGGAAATGTTTGCCTACAGCAGGGCCATCTCCCGACCAGAAGCCATATTCCTGGTTTGAGTGGACACAATAGACTAACTTCCTCAGTTCGAATTTGGTTCTCCAAGAACAGTCTATGCGAAAAGCTGTGGAGCTGATACACCCGATTTCAAAGCTTCCAAAGTTGGTGTGCATCGTTTCGGAGACATTTACAACCTTCGAGATGGCTTGATGGATGAAAGGCCGCAAATGGGAATAACACAACAGCAAAAGATTGAATTTACCATATCAAAATATAATGGTGACGATGAACCAACGTGTTGAAAATCTATCAGGAATTGAATTGCCTGAAAATCATTGAGTTGACATTGAACCGCTCAAAAAGTACTAAGTTCCTTAAGATTGACCTTAACCGGAACGGGGCGAAGGGAACGTCGGTGAGGTTTGAAGTGGTTTGTGCTTCTGACCAAACCCTGCACGGTTAACGTGGCATTTTGAATTGAAATGCATACACATGTGCGTGCACTGGAACGATGAATAACCCTCTTCGCATGACACTGTTGAATGACATGTCCGCGTATGCAGGCCAGAGAGACTTCCAGGTATCTGGTAGACAAGCACCAAGCGGAATTGAATGCTTTGATAATCAATTCTTTGACTTTCTTGTTTGTTATTGTAAATACAAATATATGATCCACAAGGGCTGCCTGATTAATTACAGAAATGAAAAATACAGACTGTGGTGGCGACATTCGAGCTTAGAACCTCCAGGTTGCCATTCTGGTGAACATAACTACTCGACCACCCACCCATCCCCGAGCCTCGAGAAGGCAAGAGTAATGCACAAGTATTTTATTCACCAATTTTCATCAAAACATATCCACCGCTGGTTTTTGATTACTCTAACCTAGTTGTGAGTAAGCTGTGTGTGACCACCAGACTACTGATAGAGCATTTGTTTGACCTTGGGTGCCAGGTTGCTAATCAGCACTTTGACTAGACTTAAGTTAAGTCTAGTCAAAGTGCTGATTAGCGACAACCAACTAAGTGTACGTTCTCGCAATAGTGACCCAGTCTGGCTAAGCAAACAATACTAACCCGTTGCTCATCTTGCTTGATATAGTTGAAGTAGTACTGTTTAACATGGTGTTGATGCACAGCTAAAGATTCGGTGAAGCCTTTGGATTCTGGCCGTGCGTTTGCCCAATTGGACTAATATTTACGATTTTGCACGTTTACATCAACTCACCAATGTTTCAAGGTCAAATACTGTCCGACAGCTCCCCCATTGAGAAATGGACTTGTGTTTCCGCGTATGACATCCGTATTTCGGGTTCTACTCATTTCATGAGGAATTGTTATAAACGGCTTAGAAATAGGAGTCAATGTTACCATAACAAGCATCGTACTGTCTGGCGACTTGCGCTAAGGCAAAGTTCCATCAACAGAATAACGATTCTGTTTATTTTTCCAAGTGACGTTTGCTCGTGCGTGGGAAAAATCGATCGTGTCCAGAATAAAAAATAATGCAGAATGTAGCAGTCACTTTATTCCAAGAAAGTTGATCACACCCAAACATTGAGGACAATGCCGTTGGGATGGACGGTTTTGATGGCTTCAAGAACAATCGGATTATGAGGTTCCGCAAACTGGACTGGTCACTTTAAGTGATCGAATTTGGTGCAACACCCGGCAAAATTAATTGTACCTTCGTTCGCTGCAAGCCCGCTTTCTCAGCAAATCTCGCTTTGCCCTTGATGTACCACGGTTTGGTAATACTATACTAACACAATTCACCACTTGTATTGGCCAGTCTTTGTGCATTACCGCTGGGGATTTTGATTGTTCTGATAATTCCTCTCGAACTACTCTAAGTTTGGTGAGCCTTGCAAATTTCCCCACCCGAAATGAAGCTTATCTCGATGGCATTTGCGTAAATAGTCCCAATTTGTTGGTTGTAATTAAACAAGCTTTGGTTAGCACTTTTGAGCTCAAGACCGTTCATTTTGACCCCAAGATATCCTGTAAAACTAACCATTACCTTCATACTCGACCTACCTCTTATACTCCAGGGAAAAGAAATTGTTCCCCTCAGAACTTGTCCAGGCTCCGGAACTTGATTTCTTCTGCTGACTTTTTCGTGTTTTCTAACAATCAACTCTCTTTTTCCAAAGAACATGTTACTGATTATCTTAATTTCTGCTATGACCAATTTTGCCCTGTTAAAACTAATTATATTTGAACTGATACGCTTTTCTCACCCTGCTTAAGCGACTCCCTCGTGCTGAAGAGACGGCTTACATGACCGGTAGGCTTAACAGGGGTAAACGATTCGTCGGTTTTGACTAAAGCTGAAGTAATACGCCTGAACGGATTGTACGTTGAGACTGTTTTGGGTATCAAAAGCCTTTGTGAGATGTGGACTACCCTGCGAAAACTGTGTGGCTCGCGCATTAGTTTGAGGTACTTAACCATCAATTCGCTTGTGTGCCTTCTATTTAGTTTCAAAACCGGTCCTTCATTATCTTACATTAGTAAATAATCTCCCTAATTTTATAGTTAACAATCGAGAAACTCCAAATATCTGTTAATATTCAGTACCTTGGTCTCACCCTCACCTGGTCGGCTCGTGTCAACGCCTTTATAAAAGTTCCACAGCTGCAATTTTATGCTTAGAGGATGAGGAAACTGCTCGTTCAACATAATCTTATTCTTAAATTTCGGATTACCTGCATCCTTCCACACCGATAATACGGCACCCCGTTATTTATCCCTGATATGAAATAAAAATATTTCACCTTGTTTTCTATGTCCCTTCAACTTTTGTCCGGCCAAAATGGAGGTGATGAAGTTGGTTTGGTTACATTTTTTTTTTACCTCATTTTGACACCTGTGATACCTCTAAGGGCAGGATAAAACTTGATTAAGGGAACTGTGTACACCGAGAAATAGTGAAAACAGTGTCGATTCCTCAAACTCCTTCCAAAAGTCAACTCCTTCTTGTACGTACCTCCACATATATCAACAATGTAATTCCATACGTGGCTCAGCTACTGGTTAATCGTAATACAATTGTCACTCTCCTCGGGGAAAGACTCTCATATTAATTTGTTTCTCATTTGCTACAGTATAAAATATTTTATATTATTATTTGTCGATCATAATTTGTTTTTTATATCCACTGCACAAGTTCTTATATGGCTGAAAATTCACTCTCTGGGTTCAGAAAGCGTTTCTTGACTCAAACTGACTTGGTTTCTTCCGGGTATAAAACAGGGATAAATCGTCTCTCAGGCATTTCAAGGATAGTTGCGAAACTTCGCGATCACTTCAGCTTCGACTACATAAACTGACAAAGATAGTTTATGAAATTCGATCTATCATAGAACAGAAAACAAATCCACGTAACAATTAAGCGTGGAGTGAATAATGTCATACACAAGGCTGGCGGAACGAACTATGTATGTTTTGTTTCTTGCACCTCATAAAGTTTTCTGCACAATGTTGATAATTTGATGCGGGAAATTCCGAATATCGCCTGACTTTCTTTGCCGTATTTGTTCAAAACTTTCGGTTCCCTTATCAGGTATCGTTTATTGGTTCCGGCTGATATGCAGTATGGCGTACAAATGGAAAATGGCAGTTGGACGGGGTTGATCAAAGATCTACTGAACAAGGTAAAATTAATGAATTTCAAAAGTAGAAAATCGATCACTAATTGATTTTCTAACGCAAAATTAAACGCAATTAATTAAAAGATCACTTAAAACGTTTTAACAAAACAACTTACAGTGGTTTTATAATTAAAACTTATTGTATTATGTAACTTTCGCCGGCAAAACTACTTACATTTCAGTCACAAATATTTGTAAGCTCATTTTCACTTGGATGCATATACATTTAGATACAGAAATCATTCGGCAGGCCACAAAATGATCTTGTATTTTTTCTCATGAACCACAAAGGAATTTGAATTCGAAAAAACATCGACCTGCTAACTATTCCCAACCAAAGTGCTTGACATCGAGCACAGCATCACTGGTCGTTGTTGTGAAGTAGCTTACGGTCTCATATTGATGTGAGATACTACTCACTTGTGAGTAGTAGGTAACAGTTGGTGATTTATTTCGACGATCCAAAATTAACAAGATCATCGAGGGCAAATTACTGGGTCTCAAAGAATAACAATCAGTTTCTACATTCGTTACCCGTCGTGTGAGCAGGAACTGCGATGGTATGTTTCTGACTAGATTTTTGTGTTGTGTGCCAAATTAGTGATATCCCAACTGGAATCTGCAATAAACAGTTGTCCTCGACCGGGCACCGCCCTTTAGAATTCTAACAATATAAATGTTTACACCTTTTCCCATCAAGCTTTAGCCGAAACCCGCAATCCTTTAGCCTCGACCCGTAATCCTTTAGCCAAAACCCACATTCCTTTAGCCTTGACCTACATTCCTTTAGCCAAAACCCGCAATGCTTTAGCCACGGCCCNNCCACGGCCCGCAGTCCTTTAGCCTCGACGCACAACCTTTGGTCACACCGCTGTTGGCGAGTCAGAACAAAAACTATCGGAATATTCTGAGGTCA